AAATGACATTATGTTGTCTTTGGCTATAGGAAATCACATGTGAAAAATGTAGATTTGTGTTTAACTATTGTATGTGTTAAGGTGTTTTAAAAAAGCTGATATGAGGGGCGCCTGGGTGGCTCAGTCAGTTAAGCGTCTGATTTCAGCTCAGGTCATGATCTCATGGTTAGTGGCTTTGAGCCCTGCATGGGGCTGGCTCTGTTTTAACAGCCAGCTCAGAGCCTGGAGCCTGTTTCAGATTCTGTATCTCCCTCTCTCTCTCTGACCCTCCTTTGCTCATGCTCTGTCTCTTTCTCTCTCTCTCTCAGAAATAAATAAAACATTAAAAAATTTATTTTAAAAAGCTGATATGATATTAGGAATTTCTATTCTTAATTTTTTTTTTAAAGTTTCTAAAAATCAGAAAAGTTAGTTTTGTAATGTTTGACTTTTCCTTCAAGTTGAGGAAAAAAGTAAATGGCTTTTAAGTTATTATTCGCAGATATGTCTCTGGGTGTGAAAAAAACCATTTAGATTCAATTCTCCACCAATTATTCCTTTTCAAAAACTGATTTTGGAACAATAAGACCATAAAATAAGGTCCTAGGTAAAAATTTTTAATAGATGAATGAAACTTAATGATCCAATGAAAGTAGCCTTGAGGGAAATTTGTAACATTATTATTTGGAGGGCACCTGGGTGGCTCAGTAAACTGAGCATCCAACTCTTGATTTTGGCTCAGGTCATGAGCTCATAGTTCATGAGATCAAGTCCCACGATGGGCTCTGTGCTGAGATTCTCTCTCCCTCTTTCTCTGCTCCTCCTCCTCTTTCTCTCTCTCTCAAAGTAAATAAATAAACTTTTAAAAAAAACATTATTTTTTAATGCTCCCCATTAGGTTATATTTTAACATTAGTGCTCCTCAAGCTTCCTGTCTTTATTCAGTGGTCCATTAAAAGTATGAATAAAACAGCATATGACCATGAATAAAGATAATTTAAAATAATCTAATGACCCAAGCCACCATGCTGAGAAATTCAGCTGAAGGGTAACCTGAAGGTGAGGCCAGTCATGCACACATTCAAGTGACTAACACTTGAGCCTCTCGCTTGATATTTATTCAGGGCTCTAACTGTTCCCTTTTATATAATTTAAACCACTGTTTTACTTACTAATCCCAGAGTAGAAAGGATAGGGTACCTTCGTGGACTATACCCATGTGCTGCCAATGGGAAGTTCTAAGTAGTGAGCTCAGATATCTTCTAGTTCTTTCAGTGGCTCCAGCCTGGAAATTTATAAATGCATTGGGCTAACTAGCTAAAATAAAGCCCAAATAATCAAAGGGCAAGGAGAGAAAAAGGAGACAAACAATAGTTCTTAGTTAAAGCAGAATAATTAAAGGAACAATAAAAAATTGAAGTAGTTAGGAATACAACATAAACATGGAATAGACATGTGCTGCATTATTACATTTTTAAAAAATCAGTTCCAAGGATGGATGTTCTTTTCCCAATTAAAAAAAAAAGTATAACCATTCTTGTGAAAAACAGCACAGAAATTTCCAAAGGAAAAACAAAACAAAATCAACCATAACCTCATACAGAGAGAACTGCTTTTAAGATTCTGGTTTAGGTTTCAGTATTTTTTCAAAATGAATACCACAGTGAACACACACACACACATACACACACACACATACACACACACACATACACACACACACACACACACACACTCATACATATGCACACTTCACACCATGATAGAGAGGCAGCTTAGGGTAGTGGTTAATAATCTCAAAGACAGACTGCTTGGATCTGAATCCTGGCTCTGACACTTACAAGCTATGTGTCCTTGCACACATTACTTGACTTCTCTGTGCTTTAATTCCACATCTTTAAAGTTGTGATAATATTATTGATATCACAAATTTTTATGAGAATTAAATGGATTGACATTTGTGAAAATTCTAGAGAGGGCCTACAATATAAAAATTATATACAATGTTTATGTTTTTATTATTATCTCCAATTATATATAGTTTTACAAAAAATGGTATCATAATGTATATATAATAGTAGATCTTGTGTTTTTCCAATCTGGTCATAGCCCTTTAAGAAAACTGCTTCTCCATGCTTTCCTTTTATGTTGGGGCCTTTGAGAGGGTCCCATAAATATCAATAAATAGCAGATTCCCCCATCCTAATATGAGTCAGTTGAAAATCAAGATAGAGAAGTATAACATACAAAGTCCAAAACATCACTTTTAGCACTTACCAAGCTGGTATGAGGGAATGTGGCTTACTTCTGTTGGCATACTTTCTTATAGTTGACCTCCAAATAAACAGGCTTTCCCAAATAGTCTTTGGGTCATATCAGCCATCTTACATGGAGTATATGAGTTTACGGAGAGAGGAAAGGTGTGCGAGGCTAATTGAATTTTATCCGCATAGAAGGAAATAGAATAAGGAATAATAACAATATTCGGTTTTTTTTCTCTTTTTCTTCTTACACCATGGAAAGGTTTATTTCTGACTTTGTACTTTTAAAAATCTGGTTGTTGAAGCATTCTGACAAAAAAAGCTGGCTATACCTTTCTCTGCGAAGATTTGGTGACTGCAACTGTGTTTATATGATGTACAATTAATTGACTGAGGTATGAATCAGTTGAATATCAGTTCATTTGATGACAAAGTCTCATGTCTTACTGGGTATTACATTGAGATTGCTATGTCTATATATGTAATGTCGAGAGCTGGCCAATTATGGAACTAGTTTAATCTCCTGAATCTATTACTGAGAATTAAAAAGGCATTGGGGGGCACCTGGGTGGCTCAGTCAGTTAAGCATCTGACTCTTGATTTTGGCTCAGGTCATGACCTCATCGTTTGTTAGTTCAAGCCCCACAATTCTGGATATAGGTTATTCTTGCTTATGCTCCTGGAAATCAGAAGCAAAACTTAAACTATTTCCCACGGTTGATATGAAGTAACCACTGACCAATTCACTATCATTTAAGAAAATTCTGATATTCTCGGGGCACCTGGGTGGCTCAGTCAGTTAAGCATCTGACTTCAGCTTAGGTCATGAACTCACGGTTCCTGAGTTCAAGCCCACGTTGCATCCGGTTCTGTGCTGACAGTTCAGAGCCTGGACTTGCTTCGGATTCTGTATTTCCCTCTCTCTGTGTTCCTCCCCTATCTGCACTCTGTCTCTCTCTCTTACAAAAATAAATAAAGATTAAAAAAATTAAAAAAAAGAAAATTCTAACATTCTGACCAACCATTGTGAAAATAAAATAGTCATTGTTTTCTTACTACATACGATGCTTTATAATAATACTCCTGAACATTCCATGTTTTTGTGTGAGAAATAAGCCCACTGATGAAATCAACAGAGGAATACGGAGACTGAGAGCATAGTGAAGCAAGGCTTTAGGCAATGTTCTTACAAAAGTGGGTATCTGATGGACAGATACACTTAGGGGTAGTTATAAAGGCAACTTACCTTCTAGTGTGCAAGTTCCTGCCCTGATTCCTCACTGGCTGAGTACTACAGAGGTTACAGTCTTACCTGAAAGTCACCTATGCCCATGTAAGTCAAAAAGTAGTTTGATTGAAATAAATGGGCATTCCTTGATGTGAGGCAGAGACTTAGTTCTTTGGTTCTTACTCATTGCAAAGCCCACGAAAAATAAGCAAAATGAAGAGCAGAAGAAGAACCAGGAAGTGAAGTGTTTAAGGGTTTGGGATTTCATTGGGGGAGGTTCGTACATGTTTCCAATGGGTTGTAAACCTATTGTTAACTGGAAAGCACGGCTCTTTTGGGTATTTCTGAAAATGAATCATCTCACTTCTCACAGTTTGAGTGCTCCTGGTTTTGCAAACTATCTTTTTAGGTCTGTGCACAGTAAACTTGTACTAATTACTACTTCAGCCATTCATTGGTTTTACGTCTGTTATTTCTGAATTTTTGACAGGACTGTAAAGAGAAAAAAACAGGACGTATCCACCCAGTGTAGGAAGAGCCTCTGACAGTGGCTGTGTGTCCTTGGAGGACACCAGCTCCTGCTGCTCAGCACTTTTCCCCTTTTGATAACAGTTTTAGGCATGGGAGTGACTTCCTACTGGTATAAATCTCTGGACTGTACACCATTTGCCTAGTTTGGCTTTTTAACTCTTCTGATACCTTTATGACAGTTTTCCATAATAAATTCCTTTACTGAACTACCTGTCATGAGTTCTATTTTTCTGTCTGGACCTTGGCTGATACAAAGGTAGAGACTATCTTCTTTGTGTGGATAGATTAAGGTAACCTGTACAAAATGACACAGCTAGTTTAACACCAGGCTTTCAAGCCAGTTGTGCTTCATTTCAAAGCCCAAGTACTTAAACTGCTGTGCTGTATTCAAATGATATTCCAAATAAATATCCAAATAAACAGTTTTCATGAATCACTTCTTCCCATAACTTAGCTCAAATTGTCTGCATTATGGCACTAACTATCTATGATTATCATTTAATTGTCTATCTCCTGCATAGCTTATGAGATCTCTTGAGAGCAAGCACATATGTTATTCATCTTTGTATCCCTAGCACCAACTACTGTGCTTGGAATGTAGTAGAGTGTTAATAAATATTTGGGGAATGAATGAATAATAATCATTGCCATTTATAGAGAAACTATTTCATTCCAACAACAAAGCTAGGGGTTTTATGTAAATTTTATAACTCAATCTTCATTGATAATCTTGTAAGTTAGGCATAAAGAGTCTAACATCATAGGTAAGGAAAAATAGGCTTAAAGAGTTGAAACAACTCATGACTAAACTAGGATTGGCTAAATGGGCTTCAAGTCCTGACATTTTTACTATATCTAGCTGCCTCTATTAATGTGAATGAATAAATACATATATCAATGGGTTGGGGGAAAAAGTAAACATTTGTTGGATTTCCAGTTATTTGGGGAGCTTTATAAACAGACAAAATATCAGAAAAAGGAGCAGCTCATTATCTATTCACCATAATTAACTGAAGGAACATGTTTTTGTATCCAAAGTTATATCTATGTAGGCAAAAGGAAGAGAAGAGTTGAAGTAATCATCTAAATAAATGAAACAGTTTATATTACAAGTGTGTAAAAATATTAGCTATTCCCATAATTATCTAGTCATTCTCTAGAATGATTTGGCATGGGGTATAACACTGATGATTTTTACAATAAGTTCTCCTAAAGATTTAGAAGTCGGGTTTCAGGTTTACTTTTTCCACATTGGTGGTCTATTACCCAGAGTTAGACAATATGTTACTCAGAGTAACATGGTAGGTATATTTATTGCTGGATTGCTAATGTAAGCTTTTGCTTGTGTTTTTGTGTGTTCTATTTTTTGCTTTGCATGGTGAAATCAATGTATGAGTCTATAACCCAGTTAAGTTTCTCCTTATTTTGTCTGCAGTCATACATTCCTTGTACCTCCTCTGAGTGTAGGAAGGAAAATAATAACTATATTTGTGAGGCTGATTTACAGAATTCATTATCTTACTTTTTGATTTCTGATGGAAATGAATAGAAGAAAAATAATTTGGTAGGCATCATACAAAGGGTTATTGTTGCTTCTACACATGCCTTATTAGCCCTTACTTGGTTTGCTACTGGTTGAAATTATTTCAGCTGGATACCACCAAGAGGCTGTTCTCTTCTTTCAGGGCTAGTAGGAACCATTTGAAGAATCTGGAAATAAACAACTTTCATAAGATTTTTGCTGGTGCAGCCCTCTCTTTTATTCCCAGGGAAAGGATGTCCTCTTAAGTCTTCTTCATGTATGTACTACTAGTTTTGTCATGATAAAGAAAAGCCTTTATTTTCTTAATTCAATAGTATAGAATAATATAAAATTAAATGTATGCATGTTTCTTCATTGATTTATACAATAAAAAACTGTGTCTGGATACTTAATATTGGAGAAAAAGCACAAATAAGACCATTAATTTGTTTTGTAAAAAAATGTCCTCTTTTGTGATTGAGACATATCATTAAGGGCTGAAAAACAAGTGATGCCAAACCTCCCAGAGTGTTACCATTTGATCGTTATAGAATTTCAGTCATGCAAGATGAAGAAGTTCTAGAGATCCAAATACCAAAAATGTGCATTTAGTTAATTCTATAATGTGCTTTTACCACAACTAAAAAACAATACAAAAACAAAAAAACCCCAGAGTCCTGACCACTAGGCATGGAAGATACTCAACCACATTTGTATGAGAATGCATACTGAAGAATTACCTGCTTTCATTTGAATGCTGAGAAGGAGTTAGTGAAAGAAAATGCTTCTCCACTTAATAAAACTCAAGCAAGTTGTTTTCATTAACAGTAATGATTGATGGGGATTTGTTGGTGACACTGTGGTCCCAGGAACAGAAGTCACCATATAAACAACACTATGCTAACAAAAGGAGACTGTTCACATGGCTGGCACTTGCAGGGCCATGAGAATATGAAGAAACAACACGTGCATTCCCTGATTTGGAGCCAAGGTGATGGTGACATTAACTATTGGATTTCACTAATTTTGTTAAAGAAACAGAATTAGTTTTACTCTTTCATTTATTGATTTTCCCTTATTAAAAGTTTAAAAACATGTCTGAAAGGCCAACATTTTTTAAGGGAAAGTTTACTATTAACTCATCACATTTAATTTCTTCCAAGTCCTTAGCTTCAAACACTACCTCTTACCCAAGTCAAGACAACTGTTTATAGAACTTCTCTTAAGATAGTAAACACATTTTAAACAAATCTTTGAGACATGGTGATAAAACCTGCTCAAGATGGTTACATAGTTTCACAACACATAGAAGGAACTACAGAATTCCCCTTTGTGGTGACTTTCTGTCACTAACTCCATCTTCTATGTCCTGTGGGCACACAGGAAAAACAGACATTTAGAATCATGACTTTAGCCACTAAAGAGTGAAGCCAGCTTTGACATGGAAGAGGAATAAGTTTTTCCCTCTTTTACTGTTTGATTGAGTGACCATAATTTGACTCAGATATTGGCAAGGAGAATAGAAAGGGAAATGACAGAGAAAAGAATGGATTCTAAACCATGAGAAGGAAGGAATGAGGACAGTTGAGAGGTTTATGGTAAAAGTAGATATAATACAAATGAGGACCAAAGGATAGCAGTTCCCATTCTTTTCAAAAATTAACCCCTCTATTGTTTTTTCCAAAACTAGGGCCATGTACTTGCTCTATAGTTAAGGTGATTTGGCATTTTAGGGGGGGGATTTCAGCATGAATTCATGTGTATGATACTCATATATGCCAAAATTGTCTCTAATAATTTTCCTGTATGATCTATGAATTTCTCACCACTTACATACTGAACAATTTGTATTTGATCCTATGCTGTTTAGTTCTACTCCAATGAGTTTGTTTAAAAGTTTTACCTTTTCCAATAAAATAGAATTTCTTTGGGATCTGGGTCAAAGTAATCTCCACAGAGGCTCATTAACTAATTTATGACTAGTTTCTATTGTCTATTAGAGGCCCTGTCTTATTCACTGCTGAAATCTTGTACTTAGCCCTTGGTCTGGTACTAGCAGACATATTTGTCGTATCTGTGAGAGAATGAGTAAAGAGAAGTAAGTTCATACATAATTGTTCAGACTGTTGCCTTCATGCATGTTAGGAAGTAGGATTCAGCAAACATATAGAGGTAAAACAATTAAGTTTTAGAAAATGGGGATCATTGAGGATTGAATGGATACTGTTCAGAAGAGTTTAATAAATGAACACTGAGAATACTACTAAAGTATCATTTTGGCAAGTTGAAGTAGATTTACAAGAATAAATATTGTCAGAGTGAAACACTTTGTTTTTGGTGCAAAATAATGCCCTAGTTTCAAAAAACAAATAGACAAAATCTTTGTGAAGGGGTTAGTGGAAATTAATAGAATTTAACTTATCTTCTTGTTTTACATATAAAAATGTGTGTCTATGTGTTATATATAGGTACACATATATCTGTATTTATTATATATGTAGGCATATAGATCTTCACTTAAATGTTTGGTCTTCTTATACACCTCACATTCTAACTTGCAACTGTAGGATTCTTTTCCAGATCACAGAATTATTTGTTATTTTCACTTAGGCTATTTCCATGATTAAAATTCCATATCTCCCCAGGTTTCCTTGAATCAGCAGTGCCCCAGAAAGTGTTTCCCTTCCTGAGACTCCAGGGAAGTCTTGGAACGCAAAGAACTTGAAGAGGGAGCCTGGCCAAATAGAGATTTTTGAGCCTTGGTAGGCTTGCTGAAGCAGATTTTTAGCACAAACACAAATCAAAGTCTTTGTGTTCTTAAAAGCAGCATTTTCATGTAAGTCCAAAAAGCTCACTTTGGTTCTATTTGTTTTGGCTAAAGAAATGAAAAGCTTTGTTTTAACCACGTGGGCATTATTTTGCAAGGGGACCATAGCAAATTATTCTAATATCTTTATCTCGCTAAAGAGTAACTAAAGTTATTTGATGTAACTTTCTCAGTGGAAAATTAGCAACTAAATCTTCTCTAACATCATTATTTTCTAGATCTGAATAAAAGCTTCTAAGGTATTTTTATAATACAATGGAATCTGATTGTTGCTCAGATTCTGTACTTTCTTCAAAAGAATGACAATTTATGATTTTGTCAGTTAACAGATTTTTGTCTTCTTAAAAGGATGAACTAAGAATATCAATCTTTGAAACGTAAATATCTTGGAACACTCAGAAGAGCAAGATGGCAGAAAATGAGAAAAGAATTGAAACCCATAGAATAAGATGTCTTTCCAAGATGAAGGTATGAACTTTTGGGTGTATATATATATATATATATATATATATATATGTGCCTTTTTTCTTAAATTTAGAGTTTGTAAGGTTGCTCACATGAAGTGCTTTAATGTTAATGTCACATTATCTGATATATTGATAATTTCTTGCTTTAATAAAGTTGGTTTTATAATTGAGGGTTAAATAGGGCTACTGATTCAGGCAATTTAATCAGAAATGATTTTGAGAAACTTAAATGGAAGACAAGTTCTTAAAAGTTTTCAGGGAATAATATGTTACAATAGGATTTAATTTTGTGTATCAAAAGGTCAATTTAATGCTCATTCTTTTGGGGTTTTTAGTCCAGAGGAGTATGGGAATCTCACCTAGAAAACAGTTCATTGTACAGGAACACTTTGTTGGTCTGTATGCAATGATTACTTCACAATGACCTAGTAAAACAAATGTTTACTTCAAGCGTTGGCAACTTATCAACCATTGTCTGTAAGAATAATGCCCATTTTGTTAGCTGTTTCTGGTATTCTTGACTATTTCAGAACAAATTCTTTTTGTATAGCTTCAAAGCCATTTGCCTTCAAAGAAACTTTGAATTTGTTTTAAACCAAGGGCTGTAGATATTTGTCTTGATTCTAAAGCCAGTGACTGTGAGTGGTTTTTAGACTAATGTCACCAATATTTTACCAAATTTTGTTTTCTCTTCATACGTGTGTAAAGAAAGTCTACACGTGTGCATTAAAAATGAAGAGTGATGATTTAGATTTAGCAAACATTTGCCTGAAATGCTATATTAATTATTTATTTAAAAAATTCTCCTTAAATTATCCCTCAATTCTCATGTATTTATCCTAAAAACGAATAATCAAAAACAAGGATCTAGGCTCAGGCTCCTTGTGTTCATACCCAGATTCATCTGCTTTCTTGCCATGTGACCTTGGACAAGTTGTGCTTTGTACTTGCTTCAGCTTTCTTATTTGAAAAAGGTAATAACAATTTTCCTATTTCATAGGATTTATTTTCCTTTTTACATACTTGGAAAATGACTAGACTATTGTAAGCATTCCATAAATATTAGTTATTATTATTAATTGCACTGTATGTTAACTAACTGGAATTTAAATAAGAACATGGAAGAAAAAATAGTATTAATAGCATTTGTGTATAAAAATCAGGTGTCATTTATAAAAAATTGATTTTAATGTAATATTTGCTTACTTAGGGGTTTGGCAAGATTAGATATTGATGTTCATGTTATGGTAAAATATTGCCAGGACAAGTTTATCAGGTAAATTGAGAAGCAACTGCTTAATAGATTTTTTTTCTTCTATGAACTTAGAAATATGCATATTAAGCAAAATTCTTAAGAAAGCATCAGTAGACTATCACTACATTTGCTTCAAACTCTGGAGCACTATCGTTAAGAGCTAGTAGAACTAGCTTCACAAATATAGAGGTTATTTTGCACTAGACATGAGTCAGAATAGCCACTGTTTCTTTTACCTTGTGACTAGAACCAAACAGCTTATGTAACCCATCTAGGTGTTTTAGCAAAGAACACTGGGTCCATGATTCTTCTAGTGACTTTTCTTAAAATATTAAATAAAATAAATTATACTACTAAATATGATTTGTACGTTATTTGGTAGATCTTGCTTTTAAATATGAAACTTGAATTATAAAACCATGTGAAATTTTTAAATTCTCAATAATGTGCTCTGCAAAGATTTATAGTGTAAAGACAGTTTCTACAAATGGCATTTAGTATAAAAGAATAAGCAGTTAGAGACATAGCCATATAATGGTTTGGGCTCATATTGAGCTTGATATTTAAATTTTTTAGGATTTTTTCCCATACATTTCTATTCAGATTTCCCCAATGAATTGGTACAGCCAACTCATGCTTAGGTGTATTAAATTCTATTATATTTCATCTTATATTTAGCTTACTTTCAACTCTGACCACTTCTTCAAGATGTTTTTGAATACTTATTCGTCATTAATTCAGCAAATCTGTATTAAGTGCCTAGACACCAATGATCTAAAGATAAATAATATATGGATCCCATATTTGAATTGTTCACAGTACAGTGAAGGAGGCATCCAAGCACATAAATAAAGTGCACTGTGATAGGGGCTATAATAGAGGCAGTACACAGCAGGATGGGAAGGTAAAGGGTGAGTGGTTAAAGCTACCTGGGGAGCAGAACGACAAGGAAGTCTCCACAATAGAAAGGATGACAGAGTTGACTTTTAAAAATTGAGTATATGTTTATCATATGCATAAGAGGAAGAAAAGTATTACAAGTGGAATATCATCCTGTAAAAGGCACTCAGATGTAAAATGGCATGGTCAATTATAGAAACTTTAAGTAGAACATTATGTGTAGTGATAAGCAGCAGGAATGTTATTGAGGTATAGATGAAACATTGTTTGTCATCTAAAAAAGTAGAAATGTTTGGTTGTGGGAAGTCACTAAACATTTTAAGAAGTGAAATCACATGC